TTAACCATAAAATGGGCATTTTAGTTTCTTTCTTTCTTTCTTTTTTTTTTTTTTTTTGTTTTTTTTTTTTTTTTTTTTTTTTTTTTAAAAAAAGGAAACTTTGTTGATAAAATATATGTAATATAAACTTGTGCTGGTGGAGTGTTCCCTCGTGGTAATAAAAAAAAAACGAAGCAAAACGAAACAGTACTCCTGAAGCAGCATGGCCTGGTGATAGTAATCAGGGAATTGCTGTGTCCTAGTAGAGCCGGCTAGAGTTACACCATAGGGCACTAGCCCAGGGAGCCTCTGTCCCTTGATCGCTCTCTTTCACTGTAAAGTGGGGAAAGTTGTTTTTTAAAATATTTTATTTATGGGTCTAGAGAGATACGCTCATACATATAAAGTGAAAACCACTGAGCCATCTCTCCACTCCCAAAATAAAATTTAAAATAAAATATTTTATTTATTATTATTTTTATATGTGTATGAGTGTATTGCCTGCATGTATGTAAGTGCACCCATGTTGTGCAACGCCCAAGGACATCAGAAGTCCTGAAACTGGAACTGGAGTTAGGATGGTTAATGGCTGCCATGTGGGTGCTGGGAATCGAACCAGGGTCCTCTGTAAGAGTGGTCAGTATTATTAACCACTGAGCCATCCGTCCAGCCCTTGAGAGTCCAGGTGCTTTTTAAAACACCTCACAACAGTCATCTGACCTTGTGACTGGCAGCACTCAGAGCTGGCTCACCTTCCACCCCTTTACTTCTGTGATAGAGGGGAGGTTCCACCAGAGAGGCAGTGATGTTGTACAAATGTTGGCCGAGTCACTAGTTTTGTGAGAGTCACTTTATCAGAGCCAACTTACTTCGATTGCTAAGTACAAAAAATGTCTCTTTTTGATCAGAACTTAGAAAAACGTTAATGATTCAAGAAGATATCCAGGTGGACCTAAGGCCCACCGTCCCTGTGTGGGATGTTACGGAAAAATCAGAAACCAACAGTCCAAGTCAGATGAGAAGAGGAAGTGTAATAATTTTATGCTAGCTGGACTGACACCATGAATAAAGAGTCAGACCTCATGTTCATGTTTTGGGGGCTTTTATACTCATGCGTGTGGGGAAATGCAAACAAAAGGCAAAGCAGCACATAGGTGACAATTAAGTAAAAGGTGCTTGTGATAATTAAGCAAGGTAACACATGGCCACAAAGGTTACAGGAATGCGAAAACACTGGAAAACAACGACTTCCATCCTGGGCAACCAAGGGGGCAGAATGGGAGACTCCTGCTCACCTCCCCCAGAGTCTGTGTCATGTCCTATTGTGTGTGTCGTGTGTGTGCGCTGCCCCCCCCCCGTAAAGTTCTTAATTATCATCACATTGAAAAAGCTTTCCATTTCTGTATTAGGAAGATGGGTCTTCGGGTTTGACTTAGATGTCTCAACATCATGTTTGTGGGCACACTTGGTGATGGCACCATGTGATGATCAGTTTTTTCCTCTGGATCTTCAGCATTTTTTTTTTTTTTACCAAAAAACATCTGCTTCTATGGCATTTTCTTACCACACTGCCTTGCAATCAGCCCTCTGCTTCCTCCTCTGCAGCCTCCTGTGGTGAACTGTGAGAGACAGACTGTGTGCCACAGAGACAGACTATGGTTAACTCCTGTCTCTCCCTTTCTTCATGTAATTATCTGGAGACATGTCATGTTTACCAGTGGTGAGCCACAGCATGCGCCTTGCCTGGGGAAGAAGACTATAGAGGGGACTGTGGAATGTGGCCGACATTCAGAAACCTGAAACCCAAACCCGAAGCCCTAAACTAACCCAATCACTACACAAGGAACAGCAGCAGAGCTACACCGTCCTCTGATCATTGTCTCTCCCACTCCTGATGTCACACAGATAGTGTCTAGTACCACTTGATGTGACTAGAACCCTAGCGATCTTGTTAATCACATTGAGTCTTACCAAGTACCAGATGTGCACAATGCCAAGAATAGACTAGCAGCAAAGTTTCCATTCCCTCCCCTGACATCTTCCTGGTAAGGTAGACAGACTAATTCCTGAGATCTCAAAGGGACAAGCCAGGGTCTGCAGGAATGCACCTGTGGCCATAGCAGCTCAAAGGAATGTTATTGGCTGTCCTGGAATCTTGAAGAAATGGAGCTGTTGCTCTGAGCAGGCCCAAATCCTCAGTCCCAAGAGCTATTTTAGTTAAAACCCCAGAGCTGACTAGCGTGGGAGCTGCTGCTGGCACCCCTCTTGAACACTGCTGGGTCTTGGGTCCTGGCCTAGCCTGGGATAGCCAAAACAACACTTTTCTAAGATGTACAGTGTGTGTGTGTGTGTGTGTGTGTGTGTGTGTGTGTGTGTGTGTGTGTGCATGCGTGCTCACTTTCCAGTTCCCATGCTTAGTGAGGGTCAAAACTGCTCTCTAAGCTGAGCTGGGCAGTCACCTGCAACCCAAACCTTCCTACCACTGTACACCAGGTGACAGGTGACTCCCAGCTCCCAGGGAAGAGCTGTGGCAGGTGCATTATTATCATATTTTTCAGAATGGTTGCTTTTATCAGCCTGACTTTCTTGTTCCAGAATGTAGTCCTGGCAGGAAGTCACAGGACTGTTGACTTTACAAATAAGATAAACAAACCTCCTTTGACATACAGAATGGCAGAAACTGTCATTTCCCTCCATGTCCATAGAGGAAGGGCAGTGGAAGTCCAGTGGAGCAAAGGGTTGTGTTTTGCATGTATTGGGAGCAAAAGTCAGGCTTAGCTACCTGGCAAGATGCCTCTCTGTGGCCAGGAAAGAGTAGACCGACCACCCATGCCTCACCTGGGGACACTGAAGCAGGGAGGAAGGTACTTGGAAGAAAGGGTTGGTCCATTTCCCAGGAGCAGACCATAACCTCCAATGATCCATTTCAAATCTGTCTCATCTTTCTGAAATGATTATCTGTGAAGTTGAAAGGCAAGAGAAGCCTTTTGTTAACTGTGTAGCTGGTGCATTGAAAAGCAAGGCTTAGATGTACAATCATAAAAAACAACTTTTGTTTTTCTTCTACTACCCTTTGCAGCCTAGTCAAAGAGGATTCAAGGTAGTGCTCTCCTGCTCGGGATGAAATACAGGGTTGCCAGATTAGCTGGCTGGTCACTGGTAATAGAAAACACCAGCAACACCAAACAGGACCAAACAGTGCTCAGTGTAGACAACAGCAGGACAGAAGTTGATCTGCCTAGAATTCCCACTGGCCTTTGCTGTCCCATGACGGCCAGGACCGGGGATCTTGTCTTTTCTCTAGCTCTCCGCTCTGCTTGGCAGGCTCTAGGCTCTAGTCTGGTCAGGCCAAGGGGCAGTGGGAAAGAAAGGCAAAGGGAAGGTGACAAGGTGTTGTCTGATTGATGTTGCCATAAAATGGCTCCAGGGATCATAGGCCTGGTGGAAGTTTAGAGCTGATGCTCTGTAGACACTTCTATGAGTTTTATGGAGAGAAAAACTTGTCAAGGCTTAAAAAGTTCGCTTGTGTTTCCCGATAGGAAGATAGTATATTTTCCTTAGAGTAATTCCAGGAAAATACTTAATTTGGATGTCTTTTGCAGCAGAAATATTAGTCATGTCAAGATAGCAAGGAATGTTATTCCATTTGTAGTGTTAAAATGAGGAAAATCAAAGTAGAGTTAGCTCCTGAGATGGATCTCGACACCGTCTGCCTTACCTGTGATCCCGTTGCTCTCTTTGCTGCTCTCCTGGCCTCTGAAGCTGGGTCCCATGGAGAAAATGTGCTTCCAGTCCCATCTTCAGAGTTGGGGGTCAATGAGAGTCTTCACTCCTGCTGAAGAAAGGAGGGGTACACTCAGCGTTGCACCTTGGAATTCAAGTCCCTTTGCTATAGGAATAATGAGTCTCCCAATTAGGGAAATGGAAGACTATTTATTATAAGATTTGAGGGAATTGATGAGACTGAGTCAAAGTACCCTTCACATAGTCAAATTCGATAAGCATGAATTCCAAAGAGTTTACTGTGGCTGACTGGGAGAAGAGAAAGGGGATGTGTAGTTATAAATGCCCATTTGGTACCAGGCATTGGTTAGAATAAACACTGTCATCACACTCAATTCCCTGGCAAGTTAATCAGGAATCTATGGAAGAATCTGAAACTTAACCAACTTTGTTTGTGAGGGCAATGTGGTATAGGTTCTGAATAACTGCTTCTGCACGAATTCTGGACTAAATATCACTAAAAATTAGAAAGAGTGGGGCTGGAGACATGGCTCAGCGGCTGAAAGCACTGGCTGCTCTTGCAGAAGACCTGGGTTTGATTCCCAGTACCCACATGGTGGCTAACAACCATCCGTAACTCCAGTTCCAGGGGAATCTAACACCTTCTTCTGACCTCTGTGGGCACTGCACGACACGGGTGCACTTGCACACATGCATGCAATAAACTCCTACACTAAAATAAAAATAATAAGTAAAATATTTTAAAAATCGAAGCTAGAAAGAGTTGTCATGAGCAATTCTAGAAATTTTGATTTATGTTAGAGATGATCCATTTTGATTTTTTCTGTTACCAAAGTTTGCAAACCTTCCCATGCTAAAACCTGAAGAAATACATGACACTGATTAGAAAGTAGATTTCACAACTCTCAGCTGTCTGTTACGCCTCCAGGTCACCAAATGCCCGAAGGACATTGGGTAAAATGGATCTCTTAGAGCTCCTGGAGTGATTCATGATAGGCTGTACCCAGGCTTTTTCTGGGCTTGGAAACATGGTGGTGGCTTTCTGTTGTTCTCTCCCCTGGTGCCTCCAGCAAACTGCTGGAAGTTGGGCTCCTTCAATATGCTTCCCTCCCAGCACTCCCATGATACAGACACGGACACTAGACACTTTCTGCCAATGATACTGCAGGGTCTCAATGTCTGTTGCAATGTCTGTTGTTGCTAGGTGGGAGGAGCATCCTGTTGGAGAACATGTCTGGAAGCAGATGTCTGTCCTTCTTGTAACCCACAGAGCTAGCCTGGGTACCCTAGGAACATTCTCCACTTTAATTCAGAATATACAAGTTACATGGTGAAGACCTAAGATTTGGTTGGTAGCTTTCTGGAGCTTCGCTGGCCTTTCTGTCCAGCAAATGACTCGCTACCACTACTGTCCTTAGTCACACCACTGGCCTGTGAACATGTGACCTGCATTCTGCAGAGCTGTCCCCACCCATCTTTCTCCTCAATGGAACTCTTCCCCACTTTCTCTCCAGCGCATGCTGTGTCTTCTCCTGATGATGCTCATGGGATCCCCTGGGACACCAACTACAGAGTCCCCTCAGAAGCTTGTAGCCAGTGGGATCTCTCCTCTTAATTGGAGTGGGTCTGCTCCTTTCTTTGACTTCCATGAATATCTCTCACATTTGAGTTGTAGATAAAATCATGTGGCACTTGCATGGTATCTTTCCATCGAAATTCCAACTCTTATGGAACCGAAACTCTTTCTATAATCTTTAAATATCTTATCTTTGTAGCTATGACACCTGTACAGGACTGAAGGAAAATTGAAGGGTCAAATGAACATAAACAGGAAAATAGAGCCCCTCGTAGCTGATAAAGCTGTCCGCATCTGTTGAGGCCAGATTCTGTTTCTACTCCTTTACCACGTCATCGTCTCTTCTCGAATTCTGGCAGACATCACTCGGGAACACACTCAGTTCTTTGTGACTTGTTGCCATGTCCTCTTGGAAACAGAAATCAACTTGTTCAATAACAATTTGAACTATTTTGATAAATTTTTGGTGGTCTCATAAGACATTTCACCAAATTTCCATTTCTGCCCTTTGTGGGCCAGCACAACTGGAGTACAAGCAAGCTTCCCAGAGCCTGGAGGCCACTTCTTGATTATGAGATGCCTTCATCGACCTTCAGTGGCTCTCTCACGGTTGTCAGGGAAGCAGCAGTATGTCCTCCCTCTGCACGGTGCCCTGCCACATCCCAAGCCTCAGCCACTCTCTTAGCAGTTTGAGGAAAGCCTTTCCATGTTGCTTGCTGACTGTAGGGCACCAAAATAGCAACTCCCCTTCCTCCCTCCTTCACACCCACGCTTTTCCCCTTGCTTGCTTCACTTACACAAAAGAAAGAAAACATACTCACATCCTGGACTTGGCCAGATTTCCAAAATAATTAAACTTCCCTCACTTTCAAAGAGACTAGTTCTCTGTGACTTCCAAGCTCAGATGTTCAACTCCAGGGGCGGCTTAAGCTTTGTTTGACCTTTCCTGGAGACCTAGGGATGGCACAGCAGGCAACCCCATTTGAGGGACAAGTGTTTTGTCATCTGCTTCCTGTTGTCCTGGCGGCTTGGGTGGTGGGAAGAGGTTGCTGCTGAGGGTAGAGAACGCAGACTCTGGATCCTCCAGAAGAAAGCCCTCCATGCATTTCCACAGTTTGCCTCTTTGTTATGTTTTGACAAAGGCAGCTCAAAATCAGATGAAAAACTTTAGCTTCCTGCTTCCTCTCCCAGAGGAGCCTCATCTAGGCCTCTAGCACCTGTGGGTTACTGGGTGACTGACACCCTGATATTCTTCGTGGGGCTCTCTTACCTGGGTGTGAAAAACAGATTTGTGCTGTAGACAGGGGAGGGTCTTCATCCTCTGACTCACCAGGGTCAGTCTAGTGAACCTGGGATTTAGTTGCACTATGACCCTGGGTACTGGCCTCACTGAACCTCAGTTCTTCACCTGTCAAATGGGGACATAAGTTTCCTCTTCAGATCTTTTAGCATTAAAAGTAATTCATGCAAAATCTCTTGGGTTGTGTTTGTAAATAAGGCACCAACACATTAGTGTTACTGTTGTTAAAGTAGGTTCTGTGGTTAGATGTGCTATGAGCCTGTCCCCCAGGGGTTCATTTGTTGGTGGCTTGGACCCTATCCTGGTAGCATTGGGGTCAAGTAAGCCTTTAAGAAGTACAGCCTAATGGAGAGTGCTTGAGGCGCTGGAAGAGATCAAGTAGTTTTCATGAGACTCTAGTTAACACGTATAAGAGAGAATTGTCACAATGTCACAAAGTACTGAGACTGACTCTGAAATGGACCCTGGCTTTCTTTCATATGCCCTTCAACCATGATGCCAGTTACCATAAACTCCCATCAGAAGCTGAACCCAGAGTGTTGCCCAGCCTTGAGTTTCTAGCTTCTGCAACTCTGAGTTAAACAAACTACTCTTCTTTCTAAAACATCTAGTCACAGGCATTTTGTCACAGCAACAGAAACTGGAATAATTAAGGATGTTTTTCATGCTCTTTGAATCTTTGCATGAGCTAGTTCGCTACAGGATGGCTACAGAATAACAAGAACTGATCTTCATTTTTTCAAAACATTCAAAATAGTTGGAAATACACTATTTGTTACTATTAAAACTGAGAGATTGAAAGAAAATGGTGTTTCTTAGAAGTATTACGGACACCTAACATATGAGTAGACCAAAAAATTTTAGGTTGTAGAGTCAAAGACACAGGTGCCATTTAAACTTGCAGAAAAAGAGAATACAAGGGAAATTTAATATAACTCAAGCCTTTTAAGGATGCAGTGTTCAGTATTATATGAAAAATAAGTTTTCTCTTTGGCTTCCATCCCCAGGACTTACATAGTATTTCATCTGAGAAACCTAGTTGAGCATTTTTACTGACCCCCTGGCTGTGCTCTGCCTGAGGTTCTGGTGATTTAAAAGAGAGAAAAGCATCTCATGGAGCTTATATGTTACTAAGAGCTTCTTGATGTAGTGATTTAAAATAAATAACATGCCTGGGCTCAGTTTCCAGAAATTTGGATTCAATGAGACAGCTCAGATCAAGGCTTTATTTGTTTCACTTCTCTTTATGTGAGAGTCAGCTTCAGCCAAGATTGAGTGTAAATCACTGGTAAAGGCTGTTTTCAACTATTTCTTCATTCCTTCCTGGACGGATGATGGGGACTAAAAAGACTCAAGCTCATGAAACTTACAAGACTCATAAGGCCCCTCCCAAAGGTTATATAAGCAGTGAGTTTCTAGGAGAGAGGAGACACTTCAGTGGAGCTGTCTATAAGTTGTGCATAGAACTCTAGGGATATAGCTTTCAGGAGTCATCACACAGGCTGGGGTGGGCTTTTCAATGCTGCAACTGACTAAGAGTCAGCTGTGCTCTTACACAGCCCTTTACCCATGCTCCTGTAACTGACCACAATAAATTCATTGGTTCACAAAGCTAGACTTGTGTGGAATTGCTTCTTTGGTCTGTCATCAATGATCTATCTGGGTGAATAGACTTTGTTCATGTCTCCCCAAGAAAAGTCACACAATAATAGTAGGCTCTTCTAAGTCAGTTAAGGATTTTGACTTTCATTCTGGTGAGGTGGCAAGATGTGAGGGAGGGGGAAACAGAGGCTCCCCGTGATCCTATCAATGTCCTGACTGTACAGGCAGGGTAGAACCAAGGTTGGGAGAGAACATTGAGAGTATAAGAGGCACGAACATCTTAATAAAACAGTCATAGGTACTTATGGGGAGTGATGGAATAGTGGATTGCATGCCTCAGGACCCTGGAGACCAGCTGTAACAAGTGAGGATGGAAAAGTCAGAATACTATGAGGTAGACAGGGGAGAGGTTTCTAGAAGATGTGGGGTTTTAGCTGAAGTTTGAGGGGTGGACTGGAGTTCTCTAAGCTACAGAAAGGAATTCCTTCACCCTTACCTGGCACATCACTGCAAAGAAGCAGCTAGAATAGTTGCTGCTATGATAATTCATCTTGACTCATTCCCAGCCTTGATAGAGAGTTGGTCCAGTGAGTTCAGGGGAGATTAGAGGAAT